CTACCACCTACCCCACCCCCGCACCTCCCGCCAGTACATCTGGCAGATGAAAGCTTGACCAATATTCTCGGATTTCCCACGTCCTCCTCTCTTTTTCATTGGTTTGGACGCCCTCAAGACGGGCTGGTCCGCAGCTCTCTCCATGTGCTCGTCGTTCCTTGACTTTCTGTTCCAAGGAAAATCAAAACTTGTCTTGTAGCAGCGTAAGTTATTGATGCCTTGTTCTTATTTTGCTATTCCCCTGTTGCTGCAACAAAACTGATGGCAGCGCGGGCGATCTGCGTCACGGGCACTCCGGCGCTGTCCCGGCCCGCTGAGCTGTTCATGCAGCTCAAGGCGCTCATGCCGCAGGCGTTTCGGACGTTCCATCCCTTCGCGGTCAGGCGAGTCTGCGTATTTGGTCTCTCCGTCATTTTTTTGGTGTGTCTTGCGGTCGTCCTCGTTCGTCCTCTGTGTTTTTTTTTTTGTTTGATGTTCCGACATCTTATGCTCCCTTTCGTCGTACGTAGAAGGTGTGGCATCACCCAATCTACAGCATGCGAAGCAGCTCTGCTGTGGTACTGGGTGCTCTCCGCTCTCTGTCGTTGTTCGACCGGGATATTCGCCGGTACTGGTTTTCTCATTGTCTCGATGTTCGTGCTTGCCGGTATTCCGGGAGTTCCATGGGTAACCGAAACACCGTAGTCCATGTATACCACCGATGTCTTGCAAGCTGTTGCTACAGCACCACAACAATACTAGGTGGGTAGCAGTGTCAGGCAGAGCTTGCGTAGCCTCCGTCGTGCACCTGCACGTAGACAGCACTGTCGACACAAAACAGTCAACAGCGACATCTCTCACCAGCAACATCGTCATCTTTGTCATTGCCATGAACCACATTGACGGCGAGCAGGTACTGCGCGGCGTTCCAGGGCCCGTTCGGGCTGGATGTGACCGGGTCGTCCAACTCGGCGGAGCTGAAGATGATCCTCGAAGCAGCCATCATGGTCCGACGCCTTAAGGAAGAGGTGAGATACCCTCTCCCTCTCCATATCTCTGCCTGTCTCCCTGCCTGTCTGTCTGTACCTGTCCCTCTTTCTCTGTCTCTGTCTCTGTCTCTGTCTCTGTCTCTCGCTCTCTCGCCTCTGTAACATGTACGTACGAACGGACTGGCGGATTTTTTTGTGATATTCCGAGCGATGTGTACCCCTCTCTCTCTCACCTTCCTGTCCCTCTTCAATGGGGCGTACAAGCGGACCCCCCACGGCCTTTGTTTGTCTTCCATTTGTGTACAGTATCATATCATGGTGTGGCCCTTCCGAGAGCGCGCGCAGTCGGGCGCCTCTCGTCGAACACGTAATAGTAGATTCCAGCAGTGTCCTTTTGTGTGTGTTTTGTTTTCTCCCCCGTCCCGATCTCTTGTGGGCGCAAGGCCCCAAACCTCTGGGTGTATATGTACCTTCGACGCACCGGACGGGGATTCACGCAGGAGGAAGGCGAGCAATGTTTTTTTTCATTGTTCTCGTTTTTCCACCTTTTCCCGTGCGGTGCTTACTTTCTCGTTTTCTTGGCGCGAGAAGGGTTATAATTCAGCAGTCCCTCCCTCCGTGTTGCGATTTATTCTTTTGTCATGATGTGATTGGTGTCTTCGAGGGCAGGGATTGAGAAATGATTCGTCCAGTACATACTCTGGTACTCTTTTCTCTGCATGGAAACGTGTTCACAACATTTTGGGATTTTGACTGGCCTATTTTTGTTATTGCTTAATAGAGACGTGTCTCAGCAGGCCCTGTCGACGATTCTCGAGCTGAAGCGGGGGTTGAAAATTTTATTGCCAAGTGCTATCGTACATGGACATCGCGCGACAAAGATCCGTCTGTTGTAACTGGGCTCGGACCTGACGCGCGCTTCTGTAACGAAGAAGCGAGATCGGCTACTTTCGGTTGCACAAATATGGCACGGCAGTGTTGCGAAGAGGAACCAACGTTAGTGGCCACTATTTTAGCGCCGCGGCATCTCGGCCGAAATTGTTTGCCGATGTTTTTGTTCTCGCCCAATAACTTAACCCCGACTTCTCTCTTGCTCCGATCCTAATACGAGGGAATGAGGAGTCAACCTAATGTGTGATTCAGAATCTCGTAGAAACACTCCTCCATGTAGGGGACGGCCACGCACTCGTTGTTTCAATCATCTGTTCTCTTCGTCTCTCTTTTCTTTTTCTTCTTTCTTTGGGGGGGGNCACTCTCCATTGAGAAGTTTTGGGGGAGGCACGGAGGCGGGGTTATTGCGGGACGGGTGGGTCAGGGCGAAACGACTGGGGCGGCAGCAGCTTCAGCCTGTACCGTGGGGGGGGGGGGGCGGGGGCGGGGGCGGTGCATCTATCAGGTGCTGTCGGACATGCTTCCCGACAAGGATCGCCAGATTGTAGACGTCCCGTGCGACGCCGGGGTTATGAAGGAGGTGAGACACGAGGAGCAGTGGGGGTAATGACGGTTGGTGTTGCGTGGTTCTGTGGTGACTCTTGTGTGGATGCGAAAAAAAGTGGGGGTGTTTGATAAGTACTTTGTCAAAGGGGTTGTAGTGACCGCGGCCGTGGCAGTGAGCGGCGAGTGGTCATGTGCCTATTTTTTTTTTTTTGTATACCATGGTATATATGTAGGCGGAAAATGCTCGTTTGTTCTCTCTCGTGGGCTACATGTAATAGGATTTACCCTCGCTTGTCGGCTGACAACGCTACCGAAGAGTGGGCAATAGAGGAATCAAAGCGGAGGCACAAGTAACAAGGTCGAAAAAAGGTGCCCATCAGAGACCCTGACACCGCCACCACCGTCACCGACAACAACAACAACAACACAGGTGGCGGAGCTGATGGAGCAGAAGGAGGCCATCAAAGCCTCCCTTGGTAGCGTGGCCGACGACGCCGAGATGGGGCGGCTTCTAGGCCAAATCAAGAGCCTGACGGCCAAGCTGTACATCGAGTCGGGGAGGGCCAAGGTGTGGTGTGGTGCTGTGCGGTCCGGTGCTGTGCTGCTGTGTGGTGTTTGGTCACGCCGTTTGGTCTGTGGCGCGTTGTGTTGCTTGGTTCCTCTTGTCGGCGCAGTAGCTGGGTAGTACATGTATCCTTCGATCCGTCCGCCTCATCCAGCCTAGAGCACCAGCGACGTCGGCTGTGTCGTCGCGTGTGTTTGGAAGGGGAAGAACCACATACACGCACGCACACACCTCACGGCCCCCCAGGTCATGACCTATAGGGGCGTTTCCCATTGTTTCCGCACTGAGACTGGCGTCTTTTCATTGGTCAGCCGGCTAGCACGGTCGATGCTGTTTTTGCATACACACTCAGACAAAATAGTTGTTCTGGTTGCCCTACACCACCCGCTTCACCCTGTCCCCGTCTACCCTCCTCGTCGCTAAGGGCCGTGCGATACAACGGTCTACCTCTTGCTGTGGAGTGCAGGGGTAATCGTGACTACCATGTCCACTACTAGTGCCATCAACCTCACAGTCGTTTTCGCGTTGCCCCTGTCATGGACTGCGCCTGTATGTGTCGGTGCTTGTAGCTTCAAATGTCGCAACAAGTGCTTGCGCTGCATGCGCGTATGCGCAAGGGAAGAGAGGGAGCGGCAGGGAGGTATCACGACGCCCGACCAGTAACTGACAGCTGCAGTTCGCTCGATGTAAACTGCAACACTGAACACTGCTGTATCAAACCCGCCGCTCCACTACGTTATCCGCTTTCTACCTTCCACGGCATCCACAAACAAGAACAGATACAAGGGGTGCTCGACCATCTCCGAGGGATGTTGACCGAAGAACTCCCCGCCGAAGGTCACCCCCCTGGCGGGGGGGTTTCTCCGAATGGCACCGGCGGCGGCGGCGGCGGCGGCGGCGGCGGTGCCCCTACCGCGGAGGGCACCGCCGCAGTGGCGGCGGTGGTCGGCGGAAAGTCGGCCACGCCGCCGTTACCGCGCGGCAAGGGTCCGGGGGGCCTGCGGGGTAACGTTAGCGTTGACGGCGGCGGTGAGGGTGGTGGTGCTGGTGGTGGAGAATGGGCATGCTCGCGGTGTGCGTACCACAACCCGGCGTCGCAGCTCGAGTGCGATCTTTGCGACACCCCTCGATCGGTGGTGGCTGCGGCGCCGAGAGCAAAGCAGGCGGGAAGCAGCAGCGAGGGGGGTGGAGTGACGTGCGGCTCGAGGAAGAGCGGTGGCAGCGGCGGTAGCGGTGCCGGCCAAGGCCGGGCCAAAAACCGGAAGGACGACGACGACGACGACGACGACGACGACGCGTGGATTGTAGATAGCGATGAAAGCGGCGGCGGCGGCGGCGGTGGCAAGAAGATCGGAGGGAGGAAGAGGAGGCTGGTCAAAGCCGAGGAAGAAGACAACGAGCCCGTCGATGTCGACAGCGGCAGCGACCACGGCGACGGGTCCCGGGACCGCGGGCGGGGTGGCAGGAAAAGGGGCAGGGGAGACGCCGCCGCCGCCGCCGGCGGCCGCGGCAACGGGCGGGCCGCGAGGAAACAAAAGACGGCAGGCGCGGACAGCGACGATGACGACGGCACGCCAGAAGAGGAAGAGGAAGAGGAAGAGGTGGAGGTGCTGCCGGTCGCGGGGAAGGGACGTCGATCGGGCGGGGGGAGCCACCTCCGGAAACGGACCACCTGCGGCGGCGGCCGCGGCGGTGGGCGATACTGTGACGACGTGAGCTCGGATGAAAGCCTCCACAGCAGTGGCGACGACGATTTCGTACTGACGAAGAAGCGGGGAAAGCAACCCGCCAAGGGCTTGCTGTCCTCTGGAGGGAAGGGGAAAGGAATGGGCCGAGGGGTGCGGGGTGACGCTATCGGCAAGCGAGGCCGTGGGCCCGGGGGGGGGTCGGGGCAGGCGAAGGGTACATGTGTAGCTGCCGCCGCCGCCGCGGCCGCCGCTTCCTCCGCTTCCAAGGCAAAAGAGCCGCGGAAGCTCGTGGTGTTCGCTCACCACAAGGTGAGTGTTGTTTTCGGCGGATTGGAAACCTGTCGCTTTTTCCTATGGTGCTTCTTGCTGTTTTTTCATTTTATCTTCAATTTAATGTTAAGCTAGATGTCGTGCGGCGACTGGCATCATTTTCTTCGTGCAGTTGATCCAAGTCACCAGCCGTTACTGGCTGCATTGGAGGGGTTTGAGTCTTGAGTCTGTTGTTGGTGGAGTGATGTATGCTACGGTATGCATAATTCCTGGTACTTGGCATGATACGCAGCACCCTCCCTCCACGTGTCAAGTTCTGGCGTTGGAGTTTGTCTCCAGAAGTTATTTCAGTTCTTCAGCGACGGACACAGGCAGAAAAATGGCAATTTCGAAGCCCCGCCCCCCCCCCCCCCCCC